CAGCTCTGCCCCAACATTGCAGAAAAAGTTGAGGTAAATACTTTAGTAGATGAAGAAAAACACTTCATAAAGCTGTTTTTGTAAAACAATTAATCCTAAGCGTTGTTTTTAAGCAAACTTCTGTTTTTTTATCTGAAGACAAATACTAAATGCAAAAAACTGTTACCTGTATGAAGGCCTAAATTCGAAGGATAACCAAACCAGCGCAACAATAATTGCCAAAACGATAAACGATAATGAGACAAACAGAAGCAGCACCCGAAACCGATAACTTTCACAGCAGCTTACATCATCACATTCCCAGGTAAATAAATCCTGACAAACTGTTCTGTTCATCCTCTATAACAGATTAATGGCTGTTAAAAACATAAATGTTTGACTTTTTGCACTTATTCAATCATTTTAACTTTCCGTCGTAACGCTGCTTTTCAGCATCTGCATTTTAGTTTGTCATTTAACGCTATAAGATGTTGACAAAAATAAACTTTAACAACGACTACAGTAACAATAAAAATTGATCAAAAATCATACAGTAAACAAAAAAAATCGAAATAAATAAAAGAAAATAAAAAAAAAATGTATTCTAAATACGGTTTATAATAAAAGTAGAAAAAAAAAATAAACAACAATATAAAAACAAGAAAAATTTATAAAACATCTCTTCGATAACAGTTTTACAACTGCGAAAGCAGCACAAAGCTAAACCATAACAAAGGTTTTGTTTCCATTTTAACAGGTGGTTGCAACAGAACAATTACCTACAACAGGAAAAAAACGGATAGTTTGGTTGACGATAAAGCTAAAACAAAATTAGTTGCTGTAAACTAACTAACTAACTCAGAGACTCATTCGCTAACTGGGTGGCTAAGTGACTGACTGACTGACTGACTGACTGACTGACTGACTGGCTGACTGACTGACTGACTGACTGACTAACTAACTGATTGACTAACTAACTGATTGAATGAGTTTGCCAAACAAACATATCGGTACACAGTCGGAGAAAGGCATCAATAATGAAACTTTTTCCAACTTTCCCTCCCTCTCTTTTTTTTTTTTTTTTTT